CTTGCTCAAGATGTTATCAAACGAAAGTTTCATTTGATGAAAATTTCCTCGAATCGCTTCTAAAGAATTAATCAAGGCACTAATTGCAGCAGGAAATCGTATAAAACTTTCGCCTTTGTTCATTTCTCTTGATCATAATTAGAGCCAATTTGCTTTCATTAAACGGGGTTTGAAACATAATTTATCGCGCGAATTGAAATTTACATTCACGGCAGTTTTGGTCCAAATGAATAAGAAATGAAGAGAAGAAACCCTACGCCACCTTTCACCACTTTCATTCGCGTGTGTGTGTATTCATGAAAAAGTAGAGAGGCGGAGAAAGGAAGAAAGAAAGAAAAGGCAGCACCAGCAGCAGCGGCATTTGAGCGAAATCTAAAAAGACCGCATGCACGACTCGGTGGCAAAAGCATTTCGCTTGCCGGGACTGAAAGCGCTTTTGCTTATTTTTCTTCTCTCTCTCTCTCTACAGATATTTTTATTTCTATATGTATAACGTTCCGAGTGGGACATTATATATTTATGCAGAACAAGTCTCGCCGGCAATGAAAGAGTGGGTCTCGTATTTTTCTTTCTGGAGCGCGACGCAAACAACGAAATCGGCTTTTCCAAGGCAGCAGCGGGGCACCTTGTTAAGAGCCTGCTTGACTTGTTAGGCGCAAACACATTAAGGGCATACGGAGATGTGTGTCGCACCAGATGGGGGCTGTTGTAAAGCTCGACACTCGTCTGCGCAGAAAGAACGCAAGGTTTTTCTTCAAAATCACTACAAATTGTATAGATTGTTTGAGATACAAAATTATTAAAACACAAAAGTTTCTGAATAACATTTACTTTTTAGAAATAATTTCAGCCCTGATAACTTTATGATGGAACATTCCCATGTTTGAGCCATGACAAGGGTCCAGTTCATAGTAGTTTGTGGGTTCTTGTTGGACTGGCGTGAGGGATCTGAATGACTGAAATTTTTGGAAGATGTGATGATATAAAAATGTAAGACCTCTTTCAAGAGGAAAAAACAATATAGTTTTTGATATTAAAAAAAAAAAGATTTTGTTTTCATGGATTCAATTGTGAAAGGAAGGAAAACCTTTGGTATTATTTTGATCAATTTTAAAAGGAGCGGATAAATTTTACTAAATAGCAATTAATATCTTCAAAAATCCACAATACTGATTAAAAATTAATTATCAAGGACGAAAAATTTTAGAGTGCTTTCTTAAATGCAAATGAGATGCAGAATTCAGCTCTGCAACCCGTGCAAATATATCCTCCTCGCTCTCTTGGTGCCCCATTAGTTTGCACCAAACAGCCTCGCTCCTCTCGAGCGGCACCGAGAGCATTTCAGGCCGCAATGCAAATCACGTCGCTAATAAAGCACTTCTCCCTGTTTAATTCTAATCTCAATTAATCGGGCGCCCTTTTTGTCTCAAAGGGAGCGTGTGCTCCAGAAGAGGCTTTTAATTAAATTTCAAATTTCCTGCTTCCACCCGGCAGCAAAACCTGCTGACTGCTTTATTGGTTCCATGGCACGTCCGGATGCGCTGAAATTAGAATTTGGGCTTTTGTTTGGAATTCAAAGGAGACAAGGAAAACGGCGATTCAATTCGGAGAAAGACGATTCTCATCAAAAGACATTTATTATGAATTTGGAACAAACAAATTCCTTGGATGTTTTTTCCTTTAAATATTAAAATCTTAATTTATATTTATTTAAAATTTAATTGCAGATAAGTGTAATTTTTTTTAATTGAAACAGATGGAATGGGACTGCAGATAATTGTGAAAAATATTTATATAAAAAATCTCGCCGCGGGCAGTTAATCTGCGACCTTTTTCAGCGGTTAGCCGGGGGTTGATGGCATTAAATATACTTTTTTTTTCGAAAGGGCACGGTCGTAAAAAGTGGCGCATTCAGCAGCAAAAATTAATTGAAAGCGGCCGCGGAGCAGAACGGAGGACACAGTGGGTGTCTTTAAAACTGCATGTTTGCGGAACATAATTGGGGTCAGCTAGGCGCAGTTAAACAAATGTAATCGCCGCAATTATACCGTCCTGCTTTTCTGCATGCCGAAACGAGCGTGGGCCGAATTATATGACTATTCCATTTCCCGCGCGGTCTTTATTATTATTATTGCAATTTATTTCCAGCAGCTCTGTTGTGAACTGCGTATGGATGAGGGGTCTGTTCTGTGTTTTGTTTTAGTTGGCTGCGAAAAACGACTCGCGCGGGCCAGTGCGGGACTCGCAAAGTGCCAATTATTCATGTGCTGCGCCCGGACGATATAATGATTCTGCCCCAATTAGATTTTTTAAATATAATAGTATCTTTTTTGAAACGCCACGCGTGAAAAATAAAGTTCATGAAACTTTGCAATTTAAATAATTTATTTTTTATTGATTGTTAACAAAATTCTTAAAAAAATTATGGATATTTGCTTGTATAAATTAAAAAATTTTAATTTTATACAAACGAACACTTTTAACCTTTTGATAATTTCAAAAGGTATAAAAAAACTAAAAAATAAAAAATTTAAGTGCTTATGTTAATTGAAATTCTTTAAAATATGAGCATTTTTAATATTTATTAATAATTTATTGTTGGTATCTCATCGTGGTCTACAAATTTATCATTTATTTAAATTCTAAAACTTTTTATTTAATGAAAATGTTTTGAAAAAAATAAAAATCAACGTAGAAATTTGCAGGCCAGAAATTAATCAAATCATTGCCAATAAAAATTAAATATCGCAGGTAAAATTAAGTTAATCACTTAAAAAAGACATTTGAAACAACCACAAGAATTTTTCCATCCAAATCTGATTGATTGGCATAAGAAAAGCAATTGTGACAATTTAGGTTTCAAAATTGAAATATCAAAAAGTTGACCTACATTACAGTCGTGTTTGTTTTGGGGAGGGGACAAAGATTGATTGAGCCGTGATGTGAAGTGTCGGAAGGGAATCAGGGCCACTTAGCGACAAACCGGAGAAGTGAGCCGTTTTATAGAAAAAGGAGCGAGATTAATGACAGCGTTGCGGTCGCCGGCCGGACCAAAAATCCACCCGAGCAAAGTCGCAAAGGCTCACTCGCCTGCTCTCGATAAATCTGCGGCCGTCCGTGTTTTGCGGCTGCCGCGACACGGCATTAATTAATCAATCGCGTCCAGATATTGCAAGAGCAAGCCTGTCGTTCGGCACACATGCGACCAATCGGACCGAACCCGGCCAAACCGCACCCCAGCTGGGCCGGTTTGACCTTTGAAAGACACTCTTGCACGTCGTCTAATCAGGGCGGTTAAAAATTAATCAAGGTGCATTAGGCCGCTTTTCCGCCCCGGTGCCCACTTCCTGCTGAATTTTTCATGCATTGTTCTCTCTCCGAAAAACCCTCTCTGCTGAAATTGCAAAAATATTTTTTTTTGCGGAGAATGAGAGAGAGAAACTCACTCCTTGTTGCGAGTAATGTGGAAATAATGGCCGTCTGAAATGACTTTGCGAGTGGTGCTGCTGGCAACAGAGGCGAGCCACTTCTCGGGGTGCGGCGCCTCTTGTGGACCGGAAGTGCTGCTCTCAAGCTGGAGCAGCCGAGGAACGAATCTAGGACGGTGCTCGAAAGAATGTTTCACTCGTCCTTGCTTTGCGTGCGTTTTTGAATTTCCAAGAAAACGACGAAGTTCTTCAACGGGATAAAGACCTAGTTATAGAAGTAGGGAAGGTGGAAAGTGCTAGTATTGCTCATTCTCAATATTACTTATTATTATGATAGTTGCTAATTGTCATTCCACGTGTATGCAATACAAAGAGTGTTTCAGAGCTGAAAATGATGCTAATTAATAAAACAGTTTGCTTTTTAGAAGTTGTGAAACACAAATAAATGTTTTATAAATAAAATTTATTAAAACAAACACTTCTCTGGCATTCAATAATAGAATTACCTCTAAATGAAAACCAAGGCTTTAAGTGGGATTTTATGTTTTTTTTTTCTTAATAAAAATACAAATTTTATATAAAAAAATAATGCCTTGATATCATTTTAGTTTACAATTCTACTTGATACGTCTTAAAGGTTCAAACATACTAAAATTTAGGAAATCAAAAGGACAGAAGATAGATTTGAAAGGTTTTTTAAACTTAATTTGACAAACTATTAAGGGTAATTAAGTTATCAACTCTTTAAACGTGGTCGATCAATGCTGATATCAGCTGGGGGATCTTTAGGAAAATAATTAAAATCATAAATCAGTCTGTGTATAAAAGTTCAATAGGTATTTTTGCAGCGTTCTCGCAATATTTTAGATTTTTTATTAGTTTTTTGTAACTATTTTTGGTTATTTACTTTTGGAAAATTTATTCGTACTTTTGACTATATAAGATATTTAAATTTACATAAATTTTGTATTTTTATTTTAAATTTTATTATAAATATTTATGAATAAAAGTTCAAAATCGATTAAACTCAGCGATTAAAATTCTTTTGCTGTATATGAACGTCATCATTTTTATTTCGAGTTTCACTCAATGCATGAAAATATTTAACTTGCTATTATTTTTCTTCCACGACTCTCTTCAGTGACTACGAATGCAAATATAAAATAAAAGAAGAGCATTAAATATTTATTGAGGTCTTAGACAGTGATAATAATTGTACTGGCGTGTCCGTTGTAAAACATTCATTGCCTTGTTCTCCTTGGTCTGATCGTGCTTCCGAGGCGTCGCATTTTAGCCCGATTTCGCCGATCAGCACCGAAATTAGCCGGCAGATTGATTTTCCGAGAGTCGGATCGAATAACAAGAAGGAGAGGGAAAGAAAATGCAGGGGCGTGATTCAAGTGGCGCTTTTTTTGCACCACTTGCTTTCGCTCCTCCACTTTCCCCGAGGCGAAAAGAAACAAAGACGCAAATCGCTGCCGCTCGCTCTAAATTTGCTTATTATTGGCTGTCGAGCGCACACTTTTCTCGAAATGGAAAAAAAGTAACACTAACGACCGTTTGTTTCAGCAGTGGAAGCAACGGAGGCAGCATGCTTGGTGATGTCAATATTAGTGCCATCTTAGACTCGTTAAGTGTAGGCTACGACAAAAGAGTAAGACCTAATTATGGAGGTAAGTTTTTCGTTCCTTTTCCACTCTTTCTTCGTGTTCTTTACTCTATCTCAAATAAATAAATCAATGTCAAAATTTTTCAAAAATCAACCTCACACTAGGAGGCACAATATTATCTCGATCCGACCCCCAATCTATGATTTCCAAACTTATACTAAAATGAAATGCAGTCGTCTCGTATTGGCGTAGAATTTGCAACAAACCGCGGCCGACTCGTCACCCCTGACATTTGATCGCGGCTTACATACAACTTTTCGCCAGGGAGAAACTACTCCACGCCGGTGCCGCCGCGGCAATTTGCAAAAAGCAAACCCGTAAGTGCTCGTTGGCTGGGTTAGCGCGGATGTCACACAAACACACTCACGCACCCCCGCGCACGCCGCGAATGATATATAATGCTGGGCGCGGCACACAGAATAAACCAACGAACTCAACGCGCCGACAATCAAGCTCCAAAAATTCAAATGGGGCCAGCAAAAGGGTGGAATTTAATGTAGTGGTAAAATAATTTTTCTTTAAACACCTGAAATTGTAGTGGAAAATTAGATTAATTTTCAAATTTTCTAATCGTATAAAATTAGCAATAGTTTTGGACCTTAAATAAATTTGATTAAAATTTTTAAATTGTATAAATAGATAGTACTATGTTTTCAAAATAAATGCAAAATTAAAATAATTAATATTTAAAAAGTAGATAATTTACTAATAAGTAGAAAATTAATTTCATTTCAAATTTGTAGTTAAATTCCTTTTTCTAGAATTTAAATAATTTTTTTTTTGGTAGAATTCACACAAAATTTATTATCATCTATAAAATATACGGCATGTATGCTTTTTGCTATTGTGTTGGTGACGTCAACGAGGGGCGTACATTTGCTTCTTGCACTCACTCAGCCCCGGCGGCCAGGCGATGGAGACGGCCCGTATACATATTATTATTATTATTATTTAGCTCGGGGCCGGAAACGCGTTTTGGCGAAACAGGCGCTTAATCAAGAAAAGAAATAAAGAAAGAGGGAAGGGGGTGAGCACCGCGCGGCTTTGTTGCTGCTCTCGCGCCAAATTGTCTGATGTCTGTGTCCAAGCAACCCTCCTCGCGGTCGACAAACGAGATCCATCTATCTTGTCTGTGTTGGATGTTTATAAAAGCGGCCACCGCATTTTGCATTATTTTTTTTCAGGCACTCCCGTTGAGGTCGGCATTACTATGTATGTTTTAAGTATCAGCTCCCTCTCAGAAGTGCAAATGGTACATATTTACATTAAAATAATTAACTTATTTTCAAGTCAGCTAGGCCCTTTTTATGCATTGTTACAATTATATATTCCTGCTAAATGTTTTGAATTGACATTCATTCCGAAAAACATTTTTCCTATTATTATTTGTTTAGTCGACGCGTAGAGATTAATTTGAAAACTCGTTGGTGTTTGCCCTCTGTACTAAGTGGTGTCGTTGATGGACATAATTATATACATTCCTACATTATATATACAATTTCTGTCTGTGTACAATTCTGCTCTCGCATGCAACACACTTACTAGTCTGGAAGATCATGTATGTTTTGGTATCATATGATTTTCCCTTTTAATTCTCCTCCGATATCTTGAAAAAAAAAAATTACTCGATCAGTGTTCGCATGATGATTGTATATTTTCAATTCTCCTCCCCTGATGGCTTAAAAGACAGCTCTAAATATTATAAAAAAAATTCTGAAACAAAACCAGAAAAGTGAAAAATGATCGCTCGAAAGTCGCGAAAGCGGGGTAAGCTTTAATGACAGCTAACCGGTGAAACAAAAACTAAGACAAAACGCACCAAATCGCACCCCGTGCGACCGTTGTGTTCCGTTGGATTAAAGTCAGTGAAAAGAACAAAATCCAGCCCCGTCCACCCTCCCTTTTGAGTGTAAATCTCTGTATTTCTTTCTATATCTATCTCGCTGTATTTCGATGTCATTCTCTGAATTGAATATGGAAATTGAAATTAAACTCTATAGTTCAAAGCAAGCAGCCGTTGGCACCCCTGGCCCAATTTGCGAGACAAGGAGTTTGTCCAAGGTAGAAGAGCGGCGGGGATGATGTTGGGCCGCCTCGCCTAGCTAGCTCTCTCTCTCTCCCTCTGACACACTATTGATCACATCAGGCTCGCTGGGTTTTAGGTCTTTTGCTGCGACTAGCTCCCGGGGACCCGCGCATGCTTCTGCCGAGCACCAGTGACGTCACTCCCAGCTACTCTCTCTCTCTCTCTTGCTCTCTCGTTCATATATTTACCAACATCTCGCAGCAGCCAACACATGCGTCCATCATCATCACGACCTTATTTATTGCGCCGAATAATTTAGGCGCCCCAATTTGGGACTTGCCCAGCCCCCCGCCAATTCTAAGCCAATTCCACGACTGCATTTTCTCTCCGAACCGAAAACCAATTATAATCAATCCAAATTAAAAATTACAACAGAACATATAAATAATTATGCGAAGAAAAATCTGAGTACGATTATTATGTGCGTTTGCAGGCACTCCAGTGGAAGTTGGCATAACTATGTATGTCTTAAGTATCAGCTCTCTGTCCGAAGTCAAAATGGTACTTGAACATCTCCAGAGTTCTCTCTGTTCCGCTATCTTTTCTATCTGGTTTCCCCTCCTGCCCAAATTTTTAATTTGTTTCCCTTCTCTTGTCTTATTCTGTGTTCTGTGACACCACCGCCTTTGTTGACCAGTTTTGCGCGTGCTTTTCGTTCAGTCCTCCTTCTCGATTCTTTCTTTTCCTCCCCTTGATTGAGTTGTTTTCTCTTTTTACGTACAAGTCCTCTTGCTCTCTTTCGATCTCTCTCGATCCTTCCTGCATGTCGCCGCCAAGCTCTTTCTTTCTTTCTCTCTCTTTCTTTACATTTGAAAAAAATAAAAAAAAACCACCACCTCTCTATCCGACGTACCCCTTCAGCATGTGCTTTCCAAACCGTGAAAGTCCGTCCGTAAAAGTCCGTGCGAACGATCCGACCGACCGGTGAACCTCCACCCCCTTTCTGCTGCGAATAACAATCCCTCTTCCGCAGGCAGGAAACTTACTCGGCGGCAGACAAGCACCGGCTGGCCGACAAACCGACTACTTACTCATTTACCGCTTTCTCCTTCTCTCAGCAGCAGGCGCAAAGGTCAAGGGTCGGGTCACCCCCGGCCCCGTCGAGCTCCCTCTTTCTCCCCCTAACGTGCTGCCAAATGACTAAATCGGTGCGATCGTCTAATGTTACAGGGCCGCCAGTGGAGGTGGGGGTGACAATGTACGTCCTGAGTATAAGTTCCGTCTCAGAAGTCCTCATGGTACATCTCCAATCCTGACATACATTACTATTACCGTGTTTCCTCTTTGTTTTTAGCTGTTGTTGTTGTAAAACGACTCACGTGCCAAAAATTGCATCTTGAAACCACACCATGTACCAGAGGGGGCACCTAGGGGTCCGGGGCCGCCGCAAAGGGCGCCCCTGCCACCGTGACACCGCCCCTAGGGGCCCCTTGAGTCTGATCTACTTTGGTTTAGACCCAAAAGAAATTTGGCCGCTGCGAGTGCAGTTAATTGGAAAGAGGTTGAAAGTTTGAAATTTCACGTTTGTCATGTTTTTCTGATGCAAATCAAAATAAATCAAATCGAGTTTCTAAATAGGTTCTTGTAATTTTTGTTGCGGAACCTTTCGGCCTGCTTTTGGAGGTGTTCATTTTTTGATGAATTAAAATCCGGCTTCCTCGGTGAAGATGAGCAACTTTATTGTTTCTGCATGATACAGAAAATTCTTGCTCTACTAGTTTCGGTTTCGGGTTGCAACCCTAATTTATTAGCTTTTGAAATGAAATAAGCTAAAATTTAAACAATTTTAATTATACTTTGAATAATTTATTTTTCATTATATATTTTTTTATAACATTATTTGCACGTTAATTTTTCAAAATTAAAAAAAATACTAAATCAATATGTATACTTACAATTGTTTAATAAAATTAAGCTGACATTTAAAGAATTTTAAGTACATTTTGAACAATTTATTTATAAACTAATTTCTTAAATACAATTTGCATATTCATATTTCAAAATTAAAACCTCAGCTTATTTCATTTCAACAACTCATGAATTAGGATTGCAATCCGCAACCGAAACTAGTAGAGCAGAGATTTTGTGTACAATGCAGAAACAAGTTGGCCATCTTCACCTAGGAAGCCGGATTTCATTTCATCAAAAATATAAAATCGACCCAAAGTGGAAAAGATTTGTCTGACAACCGATTGCTAGAAACAAGATCGATCACTCTCTCGGCGGAAAGTGACAACTTTTGCCGCAAAAAATTGACTTCTTCTCTTTTTCCCGTATCCATTTCAACCAAAAGTTGTCGGAAACAAACTTTTCCAAGAGGAACCTCTTCCAAACTAGTTGCACTCGGGGCGGCGAGCATGCGATCGAAAGCGATCGAGTCGAACCAACTGGGCGTTTGTGCGCATCATGGGACATCGATGATGGGCACAACGCTGCCGGCGCTAGGTGTTGGGTGTTAACAAATTTATATACATATATATTATTCTCTCTCGCAAAACAAGACGTGCTATTTGAGCTAATCGACAGCTGCGTTCTTTTATTATTCATCTTCCATTATTATATTATTATTTTATTTAACTGGATACATTTGCAGATGGATCATTTGTGTTGTTGTTCAAGGGAACCATGCAACGTTCCTTTTACGACCGGGGTCTCTATACTCTCTCATTGTTGCTGTTTGCATGCTGACATTATTATTATTATTATTCTTTAATCAAAGATGATATATTATTTCGTTTAATTTCATACCAATAATTGCGGAATTTTTCGTAACCGGACGGTGGCTATGCTGATGTGTGCCTCTCTCATCCTCTAATCTCTCTTTTCTATCTCGCCTTCTCTCTTTTTCTCTTTCTCTCATTGTTCATTGTTGCACCAAACCACCACCGACATTGTGTCGTTGTTGTCGTCTCCCGTTGTTGTAATCCGCGCCCGACCCTGTGCGACCCTCTGCTGTGCTCTCTGAATAATTCACTTGCTAACCGAGCCATGCATTTTTGATGGCGGCAAAAACTTGTTCTTGCGTCGCGAAACGAGCGACCTGAGAGATGGCGCGCGGCTTACAACAATGAAATATTGAATTCATCGCCCCCCCCCCCCGCTCTCTCTGTCCCTTCAACCCAGAAAATGAAATCGCCTCACGCACAAAAAAATAAATATATATCCCAAAACAGTCTCCGGGCGGTGTTAAATTATCATACATCTGACGTTGTTGACTTTAGTTATTTTTGTCCTTCCTCTCTTGACGAAAGAAAAAATCCACCGATTCTCGCGAAAAAATACCTGAGCCGCACATCCACACTGGCTTATAATACTGCAGTGCGGTGCTGGAAAAGCGCCAACTGTGTAAAGGCCTCCCCACGCCGGCCTGGGACTGCATCAACAGGCTCAAAAATATCTGGAGTCGTGAGTGTTTTCATTTTGAGGCCTCTTTCCCGATGAAAAAAAAACCAGTCCCGTGTCTTTCTTATCTCCTCACGTGTCACCTGCATGCTCGTCATTTCATCCGTCTCTATCTTTTCTATCCCATCCGATATTCTCATCGGTTTTTGAAATATTTTGAATTTTTGCAAACTGCGTCGCCACCGACAGGATTACCTTGACATAATATCATTCGCTTATTTCCACATTAAACCGACTCTCTTCTACTTTTCATTGCAGTGATATATATTATAAACATTTTATATTTTTCAGTGTGTTTTTTCTCTATTATTAATTATGCCATTGGTTAATATATATATTATGCTCTCTGTGTAGCGCCTTGAATCCCTTTACTAAAAAGGGGGGTGGAAGGCAACCAAAAATGCTAAATACAGCATTTTTACCTCCCTATTTTGCGCGCGATCAAAAGCGACCCGCCGCCGCCGTGATTGTGTCGGTAACACAGTGCCAAGACTTAAAAATGACAAAACAGACCGATCTAAACCAAGCTAAAACAAACGAACGGCTCCCGTCATTAAAATTTTTGATACCAATCCCTCTGCATGTGGTCTTTTTATAGGATTTGCATGCAACCCCTTTTTTTTACTTTTTTGAATTTTATATAACGATATTATTATTATACGGACATGGAACTAGCAGTAGCTTTTGGATTAGATTTTTAAAAAAATTTCTGGGTCGCGGCTGCAAATTTAAAAAAAAAAAACTAATTCGGAAACAAAAATTGCCCGCGACCCTCGAATAAATTTTTACAGTATTCTAGGCGGAAAGTCATATTTATTATTTATCAGTTGATTCATGATTTTGTGTACTTGCAATGAGTTTTTTAAACAATACTGTATATATTATTTCTCTTGTCGTTGGGGCCAGTAATGATGATTTATTATTGACGTATTGTGTCGAGCTCATGCATGCATGTATAGTCTTTGTCAGCAGGCACATTTATACAAATTATTGCCCGGCTGCATGCCCGTTGCGTGTTGTGCCGCCGTATTTTTCGCTGCTGTCTTTGCATGGAAATCGACGTCGATATATCAAGAATCCGTTCGTGTTTGTTTGTACCTGTGTGTGTATGTGAAAGAGTGCAAGCAGTGTGAATGTATTTTTTTCCCAGCCAGCGGTTGTGTGAATTTGTTATCAGCTAGATTTTTTTCCCAAACAGGCGCTGGGAAAATTTGCCCCTTTCATGCGTGTATTCAAATTTGCAACAATGTTATACTAGATTTTCTTTTCCGAGCAGCAGCTTCTGCCGTAGACTTAGTTGGACACTTTGAGTGCAAATCTGTGGAAGCTCTTTTTTCTTATATATATGCGTAGTTTTTTATTCTTGCTCTTTTTCTCTCTGTTTCCCTCTTTCCTTAAAACATTCATTTTTCTGTTTGCATTTTCCTCGGAAACCAGATGTGAATTTTTCTAACGCGTGTCAATTTTCTCTCTTATTCAAGGACTTTACATTGGATTTCTACTTTCGGCAATTTTGGAAGGATCCGAGATTGTCCTTCCGGAAGAGACCAGGGGTAGAGCAGCTCTCAGTTGGGTCCGATTTTATAAAAAGCATCTGGGTACCTGACACATTCTTCGTCAACGAGAAACAGTCATACTTCCATATTGCAACTACGAGTAACGAGTTTATTCGTATTCATCACACTGGTAGCATCACTAGGAGTATTAGGTGAGTGCAATTTACAATTATTCAAAATTGAAAATTAATTTAAATACAAACAAGAAAGTGCAAAATTTGCCACCGTTTGTCAAAGTTTTTTTCTTTTTAGAGGAAAGGAAAAGTTTAATTTTACAAGTCAAATTTTTTGCAGACATTCTTCCCTTGAATCCATTGAAAAAGTTAAAAGCTTGAAAAGTATAAGCCATAAAATTTAATTATAATTTTTGTTCTTGGTTCACTGCAACAGATGGGGTCTTTTTGATCTCGGAAATTTTAGCAAACTTCTTGCTTGTGGTTTAGTCCAAATTTTTTTCTTGTTAATAAATTTTTACAACAATTTAATGTAAAAAATGTTTTGTAAGGATGTGGGAAAAAATAAAATTAATAAATTCAATACTTTTTCTTGCAGTTTTAAAATCAAGTTTATAATTATCAGCTTCAAATTAATACTGTGCTGAATTTCTTCTACAATCTTTGAAATAAAAATTTAAATAATAAAACACATTTGAATTCCATAAATAAATAATTTTCTAATTGATATTATATGGTGTGTAAATTTTACACACATTTAAAAACATATTTATTAATTCTGAAGCAATATAATGGCGCATTGCCGCAAACATTGAGAAATTGTGAAACACGACCAAGCTCAGTAGTTACTCAAGAGGAACGATTTCGCCCGAGGTCACTAATCAATGATCACCGCCGACTTTTGTGCAGGCATAAAGTTTTATTATTCCGTCGGAAAAGCCGTCGGCGGGCGCTCGATTTGCATATCAATAGGGCTGGGGGAAAACGTTTAATTTGGCGTTTTTGTTTTATGGGCGTGTGTTTACCTCGATCGCGCAAGTAAGGCGGACCACACACGTCACATACACGACGACGACGGCGTACATATTTTTACATGCGAATGGGCTTTCTCAATACCCCGGCCGTTTACAGAGACTGGTCGTTTTTCTTATCTGAAAATAACGTATTATTGGAACGAGGTCGCCGCGGAAATTAGACAGCATCACGAGAGACCCGTAATATTTTTCCATTCAAATGCGCCGCGCTCAACTCAGCGGAATATACGGGTAAAAATCAATTACAATATGTAGAGGGAAAATAAGAAAAAAAAAATATACGACGTTTCTTTCTGCTCGCTTGAGAGCATAAAAAAATTGTATGCAGGAATGAATGTGCACGGCCGAGCACCATGGGACAGATTTCATTACTCGCCGATAAGGAAAATTGTGTGGCTCTTTTATGGAAGTATGGAAAAGTGACGCGCAACCACAGAGCGAATTGATTTTCTGCAGCCGAGCAAATAAATAAATAAATCAGCAGCAAACAAACGGAGCGAAATTCGCATGCGATAACCTTTGACTTTTTGTCCTTTTTGTCCGCGCTTTCTATACGAGGGGAGATTTTCGCGTGATTCGAGTGACATAAAAATTCAACTTGATCACCGAAATTAATGGTACGGCGCACGCTACGAAATTTACTTACAAAATAATAATAAATCGGTACTGGTTGTAAATTCCAGAGTTTATGAAAAATTTGCCTGGTTAAAAAGGAGGTTGTAAATTTTTTTTAAAAAGGCAGAGCTTTAAATTTAAAGTATGTATGAATGATATTAACAAGAAATATCAAAACAGGTTGTGCCGTTAAAATTTTTATCAATTGTGAATTATTGTTAACAAAAGAACTTTGAAAACTCCGAGTTCAAATAAAAGCCATAGGTTTTTGTAGAGGTCAAAAGGGCGATATTAGAGACACGTTTTGTTCTATTTCCATGTACGTGAAGCAAAGCTGAGATACAGATCTGAATTACCACACACTAGCATTCACAGGGCAATAAAGTTGAGTACCAATTTGATAATAAAAATCAATAAAAATGAATGCAATAAATTCATTTCAGAGAAAAAGATGATTATCAGTGATGAGTAAGAATTTGAATCCCGAACATCGTAAAATAAAAATACCATAAGATAAGTTAATTTTTCACAGTGGAAAACGTTATAAAGAAGCAGCAAAATTAAAAGAAACTTCTTTTTAATTTAAGAATATGCAGTGAATCAAGGAATTTTAATGTTGCAAATATTTTTCAGTAAATTTTGGTAAATTTTAAGACACATTATAACTTATCGCTTTTATGCAAACACAATCTTTTCAAAATTATTTTGTAAAATATACACAGATTTTCTTTTCATATTCCACTGCAAGAAAGATCTTTAATGATTTTTTTCCTCATACTAAAAAATAATAATTTGAAAATCAATATTTTTGTCTCCATAAGAGCTGCATGTAGCGTTTTTCTCAACCTTTGGGGTCAATATTCTGTGAACCGTGGTGGCTAAAACAGGTCTCTCGTTCGCAGTACTGTCCGGAAATAGATTATTCAAAATCCTTGTTGCTCGGCACCGACGACCTTGGGCTAAATCCTCTCCACTTGACTCTGATTGTCGAACACAAAGCCGTCGGTGACGTGCATGTGTGTTTCCAGCCACTAAACTGCAAAACGAGAGAGTTGGTGCTCAATCAGTTAGTTTGGCGACGACCATAGCCATCGAATAATATACACGTTTTCTATATATTCGCAAGTGCCACTTCTCTCTCTCTCTCTCCCTCTCGGCTCTTTTTAATAAAGCTTGGGAACGCTTTTTTGCGCCGCTGCCGTAATAAGGTGTGACAGCAACGGGCTGGAAAATTTACAGTGACGTAAAAATGGTGATTATGACGTCAGAGGGACGGAAGCGGCCGTCTCTCTTTCTTTCTTTCTTCCGAGTGAAATTATACATGCATATTTTATTTTTTACACTCGTTTACAGAAGAGATTCGTCTCGCGCACGTACAAATTTTTATTGTTGTCGGCGTGATTAATGAGTTGTTTTTGCTAATCCGAGTCGCGCTTCCATGCGCTTTTTACGCGCGTTTTGCATTTTTCCGGGGGCCATTAATTTCGGCTCGCAGCGAAATTATGCGCTCGCGCACACTGACGACGTTATGCAAATTCCACATCATTTCGGCCACTTTCTAACCTTTTATGCTGCAAAGTAGTTAAAATCCTCTCCGGAGCTCGTTTGCGAAGAGCCGCCGTTTCGACGGCGGAATATGAATTTGAATGAGAATGGAATTTTAATGCGGGACGACGAGAAAGGACGTAGTTGGGCTGCTTGTGCCTTGTAAATATGCGTGTCGGATGTCTAGTGATAAAGTTTATGGTCGATAAATTTGCGAAGAGTTGTAATTTTGATGCATTAACCTTGCTTAATGGACGCATATCAGCAGTTTAATAATAATAATTTCAGATTGGCTCCGTTCTTAATGCGTGGTACGAACAGTCGGCACATAACTTGAGAGTGTTGCAATGCAACTCCTACAACCTGACCTACTTATTAATACTCGGATTTACTAACTTAATCCGTTTCTGAATAAAACTGAATTCTTTTTCTTCGTTAATATATTTCAGCTCAAATAATATAAAAATCAATTGAATATATTTTCCACTTGTGCCCTTTTTCATTTCATAATCAATATAAACATATTTCGAGAATGGAAAATTTTCACCGCTTTTTTATTGAACAATTTTTGGAACCATTAGTTTTTTTTCCGTACATTTCTCTCTGTCCTTTTGAAAGATTCTAAGGAGAAAAGCTCCAGATATGTCATAAACAGTCGTTTATCCACGTGAAATATGCGCCCAGCAAGACAAGCTGACGATTTCTTCCCATTTTTTTCCCACCGCAATAAATTATACCAAATCCTTTTGAAAACGGTCCTTTGTTGCTCTTCGTCTCATTCATCAAGCCAAACAACAATATGGATCGAAAATGAGAGAAGTGCTCTCTCGCTGCTGTCACTCGAATCGGCGAACAACTAACCAACTCTCGCTGGAAATTAATCTCGTAATCGCCGACTTTTTTAACGGCGCAGCCAGCGAGAAATCGCAATCAGAGAGCGGCCGCCGCTTTTTGCTCCGCCGCCGTTTTACTGCCGAGCACTTTCCTGCTCGCTGATGAAAAGCAAGCCTGGTGGGTGGGCGAGCTGAAAAAAATAATATAAAAAAGTAGGAGCTTTTGCTCGCACTCGTTTTCCCGTCGTCGTCGTCGCGCTCAACTTTGATGTTTCTCGCCTTTTTACGACGCAAACAAAAGGCGGCGGCCGGGATTTGCTGTGTCATAATTCAATTTGTCCTAATTAAAATTATCGTGTTCTCCGGACGGTGCACGCAACAATTTGCATCACACGAATGGAATGGACATTATGATTATATTAATAAATAAAAAAAGGTGGAAAAAAGAAAGAATATTGCGGGCGTGTGCTTTGTTTGCGTCTTAATGCCTTTTTAATTGCCGGTTGGGCGAAAAGGTCACGCGGGGGGCGAGCGCCATGTTGGAAAATGTTATTCAGAGATCCATCTTACAGATTACACTTTTACCGTGATTACTTTTTTCCAGCCGCTTTCTCATTTTCTGCTCCATAAACCCTGCCTGCTGCTTCTCGCCAAGTGCGCCGCCGAGCAGCAGTCGACACAAATAATGACGATTAATAATCCGCGGCTGCTCCGAGCCAGAATTTGCCACTCGGCAGAAATTCCTCTAATTGCGCGTCTTGACTTTGGAATTAGCCGAGCTCAATTTTGCGCGTCAAGTGTACTTGTCGTCTGAATACACAGCTTTCATTCCGCTCGCGGCTGACTCGGGCAAAAATTCTCCGACCCAAAATTCTCTTGTGCATGAATACGAAGGCGGATTTGGTCTTGAAAAGAGCGACTGCTTCAACCCCTTGATCCGGGAAAACAAACTTTGGCTTCTGCTGGAATCGCACGCAAAAGCCACCACCTCAGCCCCTAAGTTCAAAAGACAAAATTTACCGAAAACACTCACGTTTGTTTTTAATCAAGCCCGTGGTTTCTTCCATCAGGTAATTATCCCTTCTCTGTGGCGACTCTTAATTCCACCTGAAAATATATCATCATTTAAAAATTAAATACAGAGAATTAATATAATTAATAAAATGTGAGTTGCATGAATGTTTTCATGAATTCACTTTTAAAAATTATTTATATTTCTATTTAAAAAAAAAATAATATTCATATTTTAATGGCATAGGATTAAATTTTTAATTCAATCGCAGTTCTTTAACGGCAAAGTCATCTTTTCGTATGCCAGTTAATCAATTTATAAATTTTCTAAAGTTTTTTTTATCATTTCTAAGGCATCAATCGTATTTATAAATTAAATTTAAAAAAATCAGTAATAAATATTATTTATTATTTGCTCATTAAATAATTTAATAACTGTGAATAAATCAGATTAAATATCATGATAAATTTATTTTAAAATAAAAAATAAAATTATATTTCCAACAATTCCATTTTTTGTTAAATAAATTTTTTTTAACGACTAACAATGTGCAAAAATAAACAAAAACTATAATAATACACATTTCTTTACCAAGAATGTTATCGGTTAGAAAATGTGGCAGCAAAATTAAAATTCAAATCGCATGGAGGCGCACAATTGCCGCGTCAGAAATGCAAAAATTGTCCGCCCAAGTGATTCAGTCGCAAAAGCGACAGAAAGAGCCACCCTCTTTTCCACATAAAACACAAAATTAACCATTTGCTGGGTGGATGAAAGCGCTTGAGTAAAATCCTTTCACAACAAATTAACTAGCATGAAAGCGGCGCTCTGCTTTTGCACGAAAAAAATTCCAAAATAAAAATATCTAAAAAAAAAAAAAAAATGGATGCCGAGTTTTGCTTCCTTTTTTTTCTACCAACATTCCGCTTTGTGAAAAGTCATTGTGAATTCGTGAAGCGCAAAAAGAGGAGCACAAAGCGCCTCTGCAGAGGAAAAGCGCCCGCGCGCGAATCCAGGCCGAAATCTGCATATAATTCAAATCTCGCAGCTCTTGTACATTTTTGCAAATTAATTAGCGCAAAGAAAGTTTCTTTGGCTGGTGTGCATGCAGTGTGTGGAAGGTCGTCGTCGGGCAGCAATAATTTCGCGGATGATTGCATTCGTGCAGCGAGTGCATCAAGTTGGCGCACGGCGAGCGAATCTGGGTCAGCGCGAGCATTCAGACAAATGAAAACATTGAAAAAAGACAACGAGCCGTGAGATAAAAACAAACACTCCGCGGCTCACAATAGTAATAATAATCACAGCTGCAGCAGAGAAAGAAAGCAAGAGACGACGGCACAGCCGGGTTCCTTCTGCCGTCGTCTCAAAGTGGACATTATCATAATAAAAAGTCAAGCACCATAGCAAGAGCATATCTAGGTTGCACCACCCCCCGTGCTTGATTATCGCGCAACTCTCCTCATTTTTTAATTGCAAAAACCAGGCCTACTTTTCGCACTTGCTTCTTTTTTTTACAGCCTACGCGCGTCGCTTCCAATTATTCATGGTGCACGCCGAGCACGTATTATCATCCTTTCTTTGCATATCTGCAGTCATTGTATTGTGCGCGCCACTTGAACCGAGAGGGGTGTGTGCTTCGGACGAGCACTGAGCGAGAGGCCAGCTCGTCTCATTATTTCCTCCAAGGATGCGCCGTTTTGAAAGCGAGAGAAATGCATCGCTGGCTGCGAAAGCAATCTCGTTTTTCTAAATGCGGCGAGAAAAAAAACACAACTGAGAAATCGTTGGCAGAGGTTAAGAAAAGGTGGAATTCTATTCCTGTAAAGCAGTGCAATTTTTTTTTATTTGAGGGGATTTTAAATAAATGAAACTTATGAATTATTTTCATTTGTTTGATATTTTGGTTTACTAAGCTTTTTTTCTGAAAGAATTGATCTTCGCTAATAATACAGTTGTTTTTGAAAATTAAAAAAAAAAACTCATTGTCAAAATACATTGTTGACATTAAATTGTTGAAAAAAGTTATTTATAAAAAAGGATTTTCTGGACAAAATGGCACCACCACAATTCAAATATTTCAAAGACCCCATCCACTGCCGTGAGCCTTGGTTGAGTAATTTTCTGTTTGTGAATCTAGTTTATACTATAATATCGAGCCGGCTTTTAAATTTTGCATTTTCTTGAATATTTAAAAAAAATTCAAACCGTTTGTAATTTAAAATACGCATATTTTTTTTATTACTTTATGCATTTTAAATATTTGTGTTCATTTTCCACCGTTTTGTTCACAGACTGACCATCACCGCATCATGCCCTATGAATCTCCAATATTTTCCTATGGATAGACAACTTTGTAACATTGAAATTGAGAGCTGTAAGTATCTTCCCGCACCTTTCCGAACTTTTGAATTGAAGTTGTTTCTGGCACCGCGGAAAATTGCCGCGCTCGCGTGACTCGAGCTCGTTTGCATCGCGTTTAATTAAAACGAGTATAATAATAATTCCATTTGGCCTGGCTGCAAGAAGTGGCGCACGAACTAAAAAAAAAGTTGAGGCGCACACAAGAATGTCTGGGTTGAATTAATGCAGCAGTTCCAGTCACTCGAGTGTGCTGCTAAATTTTCCGAATTAACATGGTCTTTTTGCAGTTACAAGCAGATGATTTTCCTGTTTTTCTGAAATGTTGCGTGCGTCCCCGAGAGAGAATAAAAAGAGCATGAATAAAAGAAGAAGTCGCGAAACGATTAATTTTCCGGGGAATACAGAATAAAAAAAGGAACATACATTTTCAGGAAGGACAAGTTAATTATGTTCAAAGGCGCGGCCGCCTCTTTCCCACCGAGTGGTGCAATAAATTTCCGTGCCTGGGGGATGAAAAAATAATATATAAACTCACGGTGGCGCACGCAAAAATTCTTGGCTGACTGACTGCGATTAAAACATTTTTCGACTGCTCTCGAGAAGTTCTATGCTGGCCTCTACTTGAAACGGAACTTTGCTCATTTCTGATGCTTCGCCTTTCATTTCTGCTTTCGTGGAGGAAATTTTATTATTAGCTCGCATGCTGCATTACTTCTTCTTCTCCTCCTTTCCGCCCGCGGCCAGTCAGAAAGAGCAAGCAGACAACTTTACATTTCCAACTTTCCTCCTTTGTTTCCTTTCTCGCAGCAATCGATGCCGAGAGCGCCAGGTGAAGGAGAAAAATCTGCGATACCACTTTTATTTTCTCTCTCTTTTTTCCCTGATATGTACACATACTACCAACCCACACACACACAAGTTCGCGCATTCCTTCGCCCAAATTCGCGCGTGGAAACGATCACACTTATGCAAATTGTTGCGCACCGGGGACCAGCTGGTTGCATAGCAGCCCCCGCGAAGGCGTTCGTCGCTCACCTGGGACTCGAACTCGAGCGGAAAGTCAATAGGAGGGAGATATGAGATGCTCGCGAGATTGAATATTTAAGCGGCAGCAAGCAGGCTGCTGTTTTGATTCGAATCAGAAGGGACCGCAGAAAGGGAGAGATAGAGGACACCATGCAGAGGGAGAAAGTTTGCACTCTGAATAAAATATGTATCTTCTGCGAGTTGCGAAACTCGTTACAAGTTTCTTTAGCGCTACTCGTGCGCACTGCAAACCCAAAAAGGTGCCTGCTTGTTTCCATAATTAATTTGTGAATATAAATATTTGTGTAAAAATACGTCTCGAAAATTTATAAATCATTGATAAAAGAGTTTAAGACGATTAAGACGTGAACATAAATAGATTTAAAAATTTGAAAACTAATTTTTTAACATTCGGAGTATTTGGAATTAATTTTGCATAACCTAAAAAAATTGATTTATTCGGTAATTCTGTTTAATTAAAAAATTAATTAATTTCTATTCAACCTATTCAAAAGCGTCTCATATTAAAAATTTAAATAAAAAATAAGTAAGTGATTCCACGCGTCGATTTTGTCGCGGAGGTTGGGCGCCCCTAGTGCAAATGTTGCGTAATGCAAAATGAGAAAGAATGACCATGCCCGTGTATGCTCAACATGTGACCAGTCGGCTACACGATGAAAGACATTCGGTATCACTGGAGCGACGGCAAACGCTCGGTGGGGGTGTCCTCGATGGTGGAGCTGCCGCAGTTCCGCGTGCTTGGCCACAGGCAGCGCCAGTCCGAAATTAACCTGTCCACAGGTAGAGAGATTTACCTGCTGCTTGATCAATCAATCAATCAATCAATTTGACCTCCCCCTCCACCACTGCTCGGCACTCGTCAAAGACGAAGAGTGTTGCCCTCGCACGGCAGCCATGTCGCTGTTCGGGCGCCGCCGGCCCCACTACTGACGAGGCCTGCGGCGCCGCCCCCTGACAGGACCCCAGGTCGGGCTATGGCCAACCGAGCCGACCACGTGACCTGCTATCACGGTCGCGTTTTGAATTGTGTGAGAGTGTGTGCGTGTGAAATATATGCGTGCGTGTGCAATTTTGTCAGACAAAAGTTGATCAACTTGACAAAAGTAAAAAAAAAAATACCAAAAACAAAAAGGTTGTTTCTCGCAGCTCACGAACCAGCTTGAGAAGGCAGTGAGCCCCGTGCTGGACGCGCACGGCTGGCCATCTGAACGCTAATTTTTCTCTGTCTCTCTGTTTGTCTATTATTTCTCCTCAAAATTTATGTTCGCCGTTTTCTTTTGTTTCTCAAACTGTTTCGCTCTCTTCCTCTCTGTCATCACATCAAACTTGTTTTGACTCATCATAATTAATACAATCTATATCGATGCCAAAATAATAATTATATATATATCATGTATTTTTGCTCTAACACTTGAGCAGAGTGTCGGTTAATTTGTTTGAAAAATCAACTCTGTGCATATATGGCTTTTTCTAGTCGGATATACTATGAGGGACATCCGGTATAAATGGAACGAGGGCCCAAACTCGGTTGGCGTTTCCAACGAAGTATCGTTACCTCAATTTAAAGTCCTGGGCCATCGGCAAAGAGCTCATGAAATAAGTCTAACTACAGGTATAGCACCCTTCGAACTCATACAAACTCTTTTGATCAAGTTTTATCGAGAGGAAAAAAATTATTATCTTAATCAGACCCAGGCTCCAAATTCCGACAGATTCGTTCCATTCATCATTCCGACCCGACGCTGGCCCTCGCGATTATATTTGATCAATCAAATTACTAGGGCATTAGTCATGCCTCCCCCGTGGGTTTCCCTACTAATCACTTTGGAGGGATGAGAGAACCGAGTGGGTCCTTTCCCTGTAATCTCTTAAACCCAAATTGATCGACGGAGGTAAAAAAAAAAAAAAATCGCCGGCCGCCATCTTGTGCCTCGGCAGCGTCGGGCGGAAGATTTTGTTCCCTGTCTGCATTTTATCATCCATTGATGCCCGATAAATTTTTCATCGGACGGCCAGCGTGCATTTATTCTTGCTCGCTCGGCCGACGGATGAATTTATCAGGGCGGCCGCGAGACTTGAGTGTGTACGAGGCATGACCCATGCATGAGTTGCTTTGCTCGCTGGATTCCGATTTTTATATATTTATATATCCCTCAGTTTCGCTGCGCCGCAAATCAGTCAAGTGAGAATCTGTTGGGGCGCGAGATCCGGGCCATAAGCTATTTTTATATTTCATCTCCACGAATTCGTCCACTTCCAATAATATTCATACATTTATAAAAAAAAATTCCATGTTTTTCCTCAATTTGATCATGAAATAGATTTCTTAGAACAAACGCAGGGTAGTTCGATGTGATAAGATCCGTGACGTTTTTATTCTTTCAGTTTTTTCCCTGTTATATATATCTTTCATTCGCATGTCTCACTTTTTCTTGGTTACTTTCTCGTAGTTATACTTTTCTTGGCAAGCTTTAGTGCATGCTCGCTCATTTTCATCAGCACGCCTGTATGGTTTGTGACTGTTGATGTGTTTGTTGTACAATTTGTCGATGATTTTTTCGTTTCAAGTGAATATAAAATTATTTATATATAATTATCACCTCTTAACCTCGCATCAGTAAAATACGCTTTCCGTTACCTTAATACATGATAAAATATTTTTCTTTGTGTCTACTATCTAAACAACCAACCAGTTAAATAAATAAGGAGTTCTTACCAAGAAGCAGTCATCAATCTGGCCGCGAGTCGACCACAATCTAATTAACCAAAAAGACTCATGATAATATTATTACCAATATATTGTCCCTGTCGCGCTCGACCTCTTGATTTTTTTCTCTAATTTATGATTTTCTTTTTCCTGAGATTTTTTATATATTACTGTTAGACAAGCTATAATCAATGCATGCAAAGTTCCCATGTCATATCATTATATCATTAGTGGGACTTGCACGCACTCGTTTTTAATTTATTTCTGGTCCATACAACTCATTGCTCCATAGTTGATTTTTGATATATGCATGCGAGACCGAATTAAATTATGGTTACTATCAAGTGATCGACGTCTTTATTACTTTCATCTCATGTAGTTAAGAAAAATCGTCCTTCCATCAAGTCATGAATTTCAATTCACGTATATTTCCGCTCACTTTCTCTCTGGAGAAGACGATTTACAACAATATATATCACTATTTATTATAATCTCTGCTGAATGGAGACTTTTCGCATGCAAGATGGAAAGTCTCCATGTCGCTGCTCTCTTTTTTCTGATTAATCATTTGTATTTTTCTCTGTCGAGGAGAGAAGTCTGATTTGCGTGGTGCGCCGATCATACTTCTTGGGATGAAAAAGCCGTCTACTTTTTATAGCCTTTTAGGTCATCAAACCGTTTTGCAACCCCCCTCCCTCCAAACAAATACGTACAATGAGTTTTTGCGTTTTCTTTAAAATTCTGTTTCCTTCGGGGACAATGTTAAGAGTCATGTGTTTCTTTAAATTTATATTCTTTTCACCGATTGTGTGTACATGATAATTATAATGGGTGATCTTGGTGAGGACTCCTCGGTGTAATAGCGGCCCTCGCCGGTCGATATTACCCAGCATTTAACGACAGTAAAAAAGTTGCGTGTCTTGGTGACAAATAAGTGAGGAATATTTTGAACACTAACATAAATATATACCTGGCTGGATTATCGTGTTCGGGCGGAGTCGGTAGGATTTAGCGCTGGACTGGTTTTTTGTGAACAACTATCGCATATGGACGCTTACTTGTACGTCGAAGAAAAAAAAATAAACATATCGTCCTCAGCAGACGCTTTTTCATGTATCATATTCATTTCTGCTGTTGGCGATGCGTCCAGAATTAATTTACCCCTCTCGTTGTTTTTGCACCTGCAACTCTCCTCCGCGTCTTAGGAAGCCCACACCCTTCCTGACAACTACTTCAACGTGGAGGGGGCGAGGGGGTTTAATTAATCGCTCTGCTCACCACAGTCCTAGCCCTTCGTCCTACTAATGAACGTTTACGGTCGAGTTTAGTTTTTTTATTCTATTTTCTATCCTCAACCCAACCTCCTCTCCCTCTATCCAAGGACATGACCAATCAAAAAAATGTTGATACAGAAAAAAAAACAATATTTTTGGGCACCTATTTCGAAACAGCACTGTTATATTAAATGTTTGTGACTTTTAGATTTTAGATATATTTAAAGTAAAAATTACCACAATCTGTATTTTATATCATACAGACTTCACACACTTTTTAGAGACATTTTAGATAAATGGTTCGGACGTGTTCTTTCAAAAAAAGTAATATTGCTAAATATATTTGCATAAATTCAACATCCTATCCCTGCTTTCAAGATTTAGTTTGTTGAGTTGATTTTACTTTACTGTATCTCCTAAACTGTCCCAGAAAAAAAATCAAAATTAGATAAGATAAATTACAAAAGTAACGAAATGGTTTTTGAAAAACCCAGAGACACCGTAGACACAAAGAAAAATACAAATCTGTATTACCAAAATATCTTTTTTGCTCTGATAATGTTGTTTTGCCTCTACAAGTGTACTTTTCATTGATAGGGAATTATTCGAGATTGGCGTGCGAGATTCAATTCGTACGTTCTATGGGATACTACCTCATCCAGATCTACATACCTTCTGGTCTAATCGTCATCATCTCATGGGTTTCGTTCTGGCTAAATCGGAATGCGACTCCAGCTAGGGTCGCCCTAGGGGTCACCACTGTCCTCACCATGACTACCCTAATGTCATCCACCAATGCAGCCCTACCCAAGATTTCCTATGTTAAATCCATTGACGTCTATCTGGGAACATGTTTCGTTATGGTCTTCGCATCGCTGCTCGGTAAGTGACAGACTCGTCCCGCAACGATGGAGGGGCGTCGCCAGCCGCCCGTCGGACGGCTCAATTCACCCCCGACCCCCAGAATTTTGAAACCGACCAAACTCGGAGCAGATTCCGGAGGTCGGTGAATTCAGAGGCTGAGGTGGACGGTTGGACGAGAGCTCTTTATCAAATTTGACACTTATATGAGATTTCAAAATATACAAAATTATTTTTTAAATTTATTTAAAATTGACAAAATTCCCGGGTGGGGGGACAACGGCGAGAAAACGCGCGCGCTGCGTCGAGTGTTTTTTATCAAAGTCAGGCTCTTCCGTGCTGCGAAAATAACGCTACGAATGACTCTTTTCATTTCGTTTCCTCTGAATAATTTTCATCTTTCTCTTCTCTCTCCAAGCCCAACACTCCTCTATCATCTTTCACACCCTTGTAGATTAGAAGAATGCAAAATTATATAATATAATAATCTCTCCACTCACTCTCACACTTCACACGCTGCAGTTATTATTTTGAACGGAAATTAAATAATCCGCCAACCCACCCTTGTCGCATGAGAGTCCCCAAAAATATATATTAATCTAACAACTCTCCCGTCGATATGTTTTTTTTCCTTATTTATTTCGTTATTTTGCTTTTCTCCTCAATTCGTGTCAACCCAACTGATATCTCGTTGGAGACGAGCGACTTCTGTCTCACTCACCAACCAAACAGCGTACGGAAGAGAGTCAAAGTAAGCGAAAAGAGAGAAATTTTCGGCCAAGGTAAGGTCTCACAGAACTAATTCTGACGTAGCATTCAAACGTGCAAGTAAAAATATTAATTTTTAATAATTTAATTATAATTGCCTTGAACAAAAAAAATTTTGAAATTGAACACGTAGCGAGCCTTTCTTTCTCCTTTCTTTCGTTCTCTGGTGTTAACATTCAACACGGAGAACTAGCAGCAGGCGGAGTTAGCGAGAAGCTGCAAAGTTTGCTGAATTGAAATAGAATGAATGCAGCTCGAGCCATTCGAGTTTGCAAAATAAATTACGGCAATTTATGGCTTGAACGGAGATGCTGCTGCTGCTGGTGGAATAGTTGGCACCGGCCCAACGCCCCACACATACACACACGGAGCCAATAACTTTTCAACCGCGGGCCTCTGAAAAATCATAAAAGCGATTCCAATCATGTCCGACGGACTGGAAATAACGCCGGGCCTTCTCCTAATCCGCCCTCACACGGCAGCACCTCCGAAGCCGCACAAAGTTGTGTTTGCCCTCCACGCAAAACGCGCGAGTTTTCAGCAAAGCCGATTGCCTAAATTGGGATAATTGTGCATGCATGCCATGCTATGTATAGCCGAGACCGGCTAAACCAAGCAACCCCCTTTTGCTGCCTTCTTGACTTTGGCCGGCATTTCGCAGAGTACGCCACGGTCGGTTACATGGCCAAGCGGATCCAGATGCGCAAGAACAGATTCATGGCCATCCAGAAGATCGCCGAGTCCAAAAAGGTCAACATGGATGCGCCGCCAGGTCCCCCCGGTGACGCACCCAAGCAAACAGTGAGTATCGCAAACCTCAACTGCAAAAAATCTAAGCTGACATTTTGTAAAAATTTTATCAAAAAATCTGCTTTGGAAAAAGAGTTTTTTTTTTAATATGCTTAAAAGTTTTAAACATTTTTTTTCTACTTGATCAATTCTTGGCAAATAGTCGAACTTTCCTCTCGCTGAGAAGGTTGTTTTAAAAACTTTTTTGTAAACATTTTGATTATAAAGTTATCTAATTTTGTTGATTTTTCCTCATGAAATAAGAAGTTAGTAGCTGAAACTATATTTAAGCTGTTAAAGAAATTTTTGCAATGAGGAAAAGCCCAGTTTGTAGTTTCATAATATTATTTATGTACAAAAAGTACATTATTATTAAATTTTAACAATCTCCAGTTCAGCAATTAAAGCAATTTATTAAAAAATACACCTACAGCAACCATTTTTAGATTAAATTGAATTTATTTAAATATTTCTGCGTGATTTTATTGTGACAACATAGGGATTAAATTTTAATTTCAATTGAAATTGAAAATGTAATGAGTATGGTAATAAAACGGTAATAATTCAACATTTAAGGGCTTCAAGTTGCTCTAAAAATTATTTTATACCAACTTGAAAAGTCCCTCAATTAAAAAAGGATAGTCTATAATTTAAAATTAAAAGTAGTTTTATAAACGAAAATAATCAATTCAATTAATTAAAAAAAACCTAAAAACGTCAAGAAATTTTTTGACAAGAAACATATATTCTGTATTTTTTAAATTTTCATAATTGAAATTAAAAATTATTACTTAACATTAGAGTAATGAGAAAACTATACTTGAGTGGAATTTTACAAAATTAAAATTTCTTTTATGTTTTACATGATTAAGACTGCTATTATTAAAAAAACGCATTTGACTCCAACATTCGTGTTAAATAAATTTTTGACCATTTTACAATATGAAATCAATAAATTGGCGTCGAGTACAAAAATTCAGCAACCCAGTAAAAAAAATATCCGAAATCTGGCAGGTTGGACTGACATTTCACAATCCACTTGGCGTTCATTGCCGGGGCGAGAGAGTGACATTTTTTCCATGCAAAGCGCTCTTGTTACTCAATCGCAGATCAAATATTTGCAAAGCACTGGCGCGAATTCAAATAAGTGCGCCGAAGGCAAAGGTCAAATGTCGGCAGCTCTTCTTTCTTTATTCATACCCGAATTCGCTGATGAAATTGTCGGTTCGAATTTGTCGGGCTGGATGACGGCCCAATTTCTCTTTATTAAAGCGTTTTTGGAGAGATACATACGCGGCCTGGGTAATAAAGTCGAGCAGGCGCGGCTGCCGTGAGCTACTTTTGCCCGTGAATATGGTCGGCGCGCAATCTACGGACGGGTTTCGCTTAGTTTTCCACGCCACTGATTCTTATTTCCATTAAGCTAGAACCATCAAACATCATCTCTCTCTCTCTCGCGCACTCGCCGAGCCAACTTGGCAAAGGTGCTTCTTTAAATTCCGCCACGCCTCGTAAAGTTGCGGCGAAATCGCGACAAATTGGCCGTTTCTGCCAAATTTGTGTCACAATGTTAACGGACCGCGCCGAAATTAATCAGCTAATGCAAATCTTGTGGCCAAAAAATGCTAAAAATAAAACAGCCAAGGTTTTCATTTAAGCTGGAAAAATTCAGAAAAATTTTGAAAAGTTATGAAAATATTGACGAAGAGTTTTGAGAATTGAAACGTTTCCAGGAAAACTTCGAATTAAAATTCATTTTCCGTTGGAAATTGTCAAGAATTTTACAAGTTAGAAAATATTAATTTGTAAATTTTCCTCAAAGACGTCGTGGAAACTTTGAAATTATGATGTTCCCAGAACTTTATATTCAATTACTTATTTTCACAAACAAATTCTGGGAACGATTTCTAACTTTTCCCAAACGTATAAATATTTGGTAATAGAAATTGAAGCTTAAATATCATCTATCAAATTTTTTATTTTTATCAAATTCAATCATATCCGCAAAAAAAGGTCCGTCATATAACTTTCTACTTATTGTGTTCTTTTTAATCCTTTTAATGTTAACTACGAAAAATATTAAATCGGTTTTATTGATCAACTTGCTTCCTTAATTTTTACGATTTGAAAAAAAATTCAAAAGGACATGAATCCTATATCTTGTAAACAATTTTTAATGCCTTTTCATTAAATAATCTATAAAAATGAATTAATATGATATTTTAAATTGAAAGATTAATAAATAGAGATGTCAGAGTTTGTTAGTTTAAAAAATTAACATTGAAATACATTTTACTATCATTTTGTATAGTAGAGCATATATTTTTGATTTCAAATTAACCATTTCAACACGCCGAAAATTTCCAAGGCGATTTTCGGGTCCGATGAACACGCGAGCTGACATCACAGAGATCACAAAGCCCCCCATCAACGGTTCATAATTTCAAATTTACGAGGCATCCATGCGCTTGAGAAGTTCGGACGCCCTAACGAAATTAAAGCCTCTCGGAGCAGAAAATTTTCCAGGACGTGCGGGGGCTGCTCCATTTTCATCCGTCTCCTGTAATTAAGCCGCATCCCGGGCAAAAATCTTTCCTCCTCGGTAAATAAAAAATGCGAAAAATAAGGCAAAAAAATCGCCAAGAGTTGTTGTCAGTTGGCTAATGGTCGAAACGGCTGCACACAACGTGCATACATATTATTATTAGCAAGAGCGGGTTAGCGAGCGAGCGAGCGAGCAAAAAGCTGCTGCTGCTGCCCGGCCCATTTTCTTGCCAACACACAGAGAGAGATGTGTGTTAGCGGGAAAATCAATAGTTACGCAGCTGCAGAAACGCCCGCTCGCAGCGGCCAGAGCGAGCCACGTACCTGCTCGCGTCCCACCCTGCGCCGCCTCTAAATCTGCTCGTACTACGCGCAAATTCACTCCGGCCAAACGTTTGTTGCGAAATATATAAATATAAAAGAACTGCGATTTTCTCCGAACGCCTGCAAAGAGCGCGGGCTGCAACCTGCACCACACCCGAGAACGGCATTTGGCCTAACGGTTCAGTGAGCCGAGAGAGTTTTCCCCGCTGCACTTTCAGAATAAGTGCTTCGCAGGTTGCAAACAATCTAATCTGCAGGCGTTCGCTCGTTATAGGTGGTTCGGAAAATTAATCACGAGTTATGCTTCAATTCACATTCACCATAAAAAGCGTTTTGCAAGTTTTCTTTCTGTTCTACTTGTAATAATGAATCGCAAAAGGTCAAAGGCACATATTTGCGTTTGTAATTTACAAGTTTATATTCAACAATATCAAGACTTTTGCACAAAAGTTATTTAAAAGAAAACTATAATATTTACTTTTTTCAATTGAAAGTTTTGAAATAAAAAAGATCTCGTTAAGTTATTAATTTTATATTTTTATAAAATAAAATTTTAATATTTATATTTTTGCTTCAATTTTAATAAATTTAATGATCACCTAACAAAACTCGGCGTCTTGTTTGGCTGCTTCTGCTGAAAACGGCTTACGGCTCTATTAATTTTAATTGATAATTTTTCTCTGCATCAGCATTTGCAGACATGAACTCCAAGGAGATATATCAAGAAAATTTTTGAAAATTAACATTATTCAAGTTGGAATAATGAAATTAATAGGTAATTTGATATACAAATTTAAATTGATCTTAATTGAGACAGTTTAATTAACATTTTTCTTGGTATATGTAACATATAAGCTCCTCGTTAAATCTGAGTTTGTGTAAATAATTATTACATAAAAAAATTAGTACAAATAATTTTCCATGATTTGTTTATTAATTTGATGGTTGACTTATTTATCATAATAATATCCAATATAACAATTTAAAAACTAAAAATCTAATTCCAAAGCAGATTATTTGACATTTTTTGTATTGTGCTGGTGGTGGGGCAGTTTTCTAGACCGCTTTTAAGGGATGCCGACGTTGTTCCAGGAGGTGCGCTTCAAAGTACACGACCCGAAAGCCCATTCGAAGGGCGGCACCCTGGAGAACACGGTGAACGGGCGAGCCGACGAGGAGGGTGGCGGCGGCGGCGGAGGCCCGCCGCCCCCGCCCACGCACCTGCTGCACCCCGGCAAGGACATCAACAAGCTCTACGGCATCACACCCAGCGACATAGACAAATACTCGAGGATTGTGTTCCCCGTTTGTTTTGTGTGTTTCAACCTCATGTACTGGATCATTTACCTGCACATCAGTGACGTCGTGGCCGACGACCTGGTGCTGCTGCACGAGGACAAGTAAAAAAGAAAGAAATGAAAATTTATTCTAATCCGCCGACGGTCAGCGCCGCCTGCCGTGCAACAACAACAACAACAAGTCTATTAAAAGAAAAGCCACGAGACGACTCACTCCGAGTTAAAAATAATGTGCAGCTAAATTAATAATTGCATCCGAGAATGAACAAAAAAAGAGTTAAATTATGTATCTAGACGCAAACACGTACACACTCTTTCACTCAAAGAGACGCAAAACATTAAATACAAACTCACAAAATTGCAGACACAAAAGAAGAAAACACGATTTTAGCAATAACGAGATGAGCACTTTTCTAAAATTTCTCAAACCCTTTTCCCCGCGGTTGCGTTGGCGATCCTGATTGCAGAGCTCCTTCGAGGACCCTCGAGCTAGCCGACGGCCATTTAATTAATTCTGCCCCGAAACGAACCCACTAGAAAGAGTAGCGATTTGAGAAATCAGCCATCCCCACACATTCCTTTCAAGAAATGAGCCGGCGCTGGTTCGACGGGCCCCGGGGGCCGTTCTGTGATGGTGATAAAATTAGGGGCGGCAAAACGCTTCGACGGACGACCGACGTTCTAAAAAGCTCAGACTTGATCGGCTCCAGCTTACACGCCGTCGAGCCCTTTTCCGTCCCGGTGATAGAAATTAGAAACAATTCTAAAGCAATTAGCAACGGAATGATTTGTTTTTACACTTGATCAATCAATCAATCAATTGCTTGGTGGACAACAAAGAAAGACAGCCGTCAGCCACGTTCCAATTTTTTGTTTGTTTCCAGCAACAAAGATGTTAAATAATCAAGTATAAAAAACATGCACTTGTGTCACACATTCCAGAGAAAAGATTATTGATAACACAAATTCAAACGCTTTAAATAAAAACTAAATAACTAAAACTAGATTAAAAAAAAAGAAACGCATCAAGGAAGAAAGAGAAATTTATATGGTAATAAAAAGATAAAAGAAACTGTATAATATTATTATAGAGTTTGTGCAACTTGATGACGCGCGCTGATGGGTCGTACTGGTTAGGACTTGCTAACTGTGACTTGACGGATGAACAAACAAAAATCATCTTCCAAATTCTGTGTTTATCATACGGTAATTCTGTTGGTGGCTAGTACGGAGAAGAATGAAAAAAAAAGAAGAAACACACACATTCACTTTCACACACACACACGAAACACACACTCTATACCACACGCTGTAAAAATCATTATTAATGTAAGATTAAGACTCGCACAAGAATGACAAAAGTGATCGCAGCCCCAACTGCTGTCACACAACAATAGAGTTCAGGCACCTCTTTGGATCATTGTCACCTCGTTATCGTAGAGAATATAAATTATAATTGCTATCAAATGTTGAGAGAAAAAAAAAGAAGGATCCGATATTATATTTATTACGTTCATCGCCAATCTGTATTTATAACCTGTGAGAGAATTCTAAAGTATAATTGATTGTTATGGTGAGAATATGAACAAATTAATAATAACAAACCTGTCACCCCAGGAAAACGCATTATACAAAATACTATGATATAAATTATATTTATTATTGCTAGCGTCTGTTGTACAGATTTATAAATTTTTGCTTTCAACTTCCTTAAATTATTTTGGCAGGCCCAGAGATAAAATAATATACTATCGTTTACACCCCCAAATTTTTATAGATGAGAAATTTGGCGCCAACTGTTCCGTAGAGAATAAATATATTGATTTTTTCGTCTGATTCTTCCAACACTTAGAAATATATATTTACATTTGTTACCGTTATTATCATGTGATATCTGCAATCAAATAGTGAACTCTCACTTGCTGTCAAGACAGAATAACTAAGACGAAAGAAAGAAAGAAAACTCACAGACGCACGCATACCATATCTCGCTCTTCTCCAGTGAACAAAAATCCAACTGTTGCGAGGCCAGATGATATTATACATTTAAGTACGTACGCGGGGCTGTATGTACAGCTATAATAAAATCATTCAATTTTAATTAATTTCGAGGAGACACAAAATTTGGAGCTGCGGAATGCGTGTTATATAAATATTAATTCTCTTCCCGTCCTCTCGTGTTACAATTTCGAAGCGTTAGAACTCGGATCGGTAGATTTTCATTTGACCACGAAATTTAGACGAAATAAAAAATGCCTCTGGCAAGTTGGGGATTCGGTTGATTTGTATCAAGAGATTCGTCGGCGGACGAAGCCATCCCAATGCTCAATAGAAACACCATAGAATCACTCAACGATGGCTTCATCCGCCCCGCACAAATTCCGATTAAACGCATCTCGGCGAATCCGGCCCTTTGTTGAAAAAAGAAATTCGCTGACGAAAAAAGTTTCAAACAAAAAATTGTACAGAATTGCTCAATCAGAAAAGGGATTGAATATTTGAACGAGACGATTAATTTTCTCGCAGTTTAAAAGTTATAAAAAAAAGATATAATTATATAAATACATACATTGAAAAAGTAAAATATAAAAAAGAGATAGGTATGAACGCGCAGTCTCACAAGATATTTTTACCCGCTTGCTATAGCACCTACGATAAAGTAAAATTAAAATACGTCATACATGCAAAGTTTTTCTATTGATCTTTCAAATGCACCGCCATCAGCAAGTTAATTAAAATAATCCAGAGTTGTATCAAAGCTAATTAAAAGTATATAACGCCAGACATCTTGGATTGTTTGCGTTTTTTAATGCTACCTAAATTATAATTAAATAGGACGGAGAAGTTACCTGCGACCAGGAGAATTAACAGAGTCGGATTAACGAGAAAAAAAAATATCTAGCTACGTGAGAGACCCGTATATGAAATTCTAAACAAACATTTTCCAGTAAGTGAGACGCAGTGAATGCTTTTACATATACCAAACAGTAATCGATGCCCGTTTAAAATCTAGGAAATGTCGTGTTGTAAGTGTTGAACTCTAAACTAAAACCAGCAGAGATGAAAGAAGAACAAACACACACGTTCACTTTGTCGAAATATCGAATAATACACAAAAAAAGAGTCTCACCGAGAGTAAAACCGATTGAGTTTTTGAATCAACCAACTGCTGTTTCTCTTCTCTAATCTCACTTCGATGATTGAAAAACGATAGTTTTAATACTACAAAAAGTTAAACGTCAGTGCTTTGAGTGTACTTGAGAAAGACGCTGATGAGATGAATGTGATGAATGTATCATGTAAGTGTAAATAATTGTTCCTTTTTACGCTAAAGATGCATATAAACTACATTAACAAAGCATGTACTATTATTAACACGAGCGAAGAAATCTGTTGATTGTTTAGATAAGTATAAAAATGCAGCGCAGATAATTATATGATTATATTATTACTACGAAAAATCGCAAAATGTTAGTAAACAGAGTATTAGGTGCAGAGTGTGGGGCGAAATAATTATAAATTACTAAATGGGGGAATATTTTTAAAAAAACAATGCGAGTGCGATGAACGTGACGAAAAAGAAGATGCAAAAAAAAAACACTTCTTGTGTAAATATATACATAAAAAAATAGCACAGAAAAAACTTGCAAAAAAAAATAAACTACAAAAGAATGAAATGACGCATTGACGGAGCAAAACGTATATAGGATGGACAGTGGGGAGGGTGGAAAATATATTTAATAAACGATTGCTCATGACTTGATATTCTAAAAGTGTAAAATGATCACAAGCTAATTGAGATTGCTGATTATAATTGCCGTTATTATATTGATGTTGACAAAAAAGAAGGTATTTGAACATTCATTATAATTAATTAATCCAAGCAGCAGTCATTTTTTGCGTTGCTAGTTTTTAAACACTAAAAATTGTACATCGTGAAAGTAATAAGAAGCTCGGCGAAAGCAGCAGAAAATAATTTCCTCTCTATGAACGTACGTCTTTCCATCATTTGAAATTCACCGACTCTCTTGGATCGAAATTAAATTAAAGAATTAAAAAGACTGGCGTCTAGGCGTCCTGGACTTATTGTTCGCAACAAAAAATTCCTCATTATAAATTTCAAAGTAACGACGTATGTGCAAAATCCTCACCTTGGTTAAACCAGATGATTTTAAAACAACCTGCTGGCCGATTGATTAAAAATTCAATTTAGCGACGCTAAGGGATAATTTTTAGCAAAATATGTAAGACACGCGCTTTTATTGTATGATTGAACCTATCGTATCTCTCTCGCTCTCTCTCTAACTCTCTCTATCTATCTATCAAGGCGACGTGACCACCTAGCAGTCGGAGAAAAGCTGAAAAATTCGGACCCAAAATTTATTAATTGGTACAAAAAAAAATTGACTTTGGTGGTTGCGTCGCTTGGATTATGGTTAAATTTACTCGAAGATTAATTATGATTGATTACCGGTTACTCGTATAGATGATTTTAAGAACCAGCAAATCCTGCAATTTAATACAATGCGTAAAGGAAAAAGAGGAGTGTAAAAAATCATAATTAAATTATCGATTAATTACCGATTTATTAATTATACCGACGGAAACGATCCCTTCGCATCATATTGAGAAAAAAAAATATAAAATGATTATGAGAAAAAATGACGAGGAACTTAGCAAAAGATTAAGTCTAAAGTGAATTTTATACGATGTAACATAATGAGATATAATGCATTAAAACTTGAGCCTCCATGCAGCATCACACGCTCACGCGCGCGATTCTATAGAAAGATGAAACACAAATCAGCAGTCTGCAAACAGCTCGCCGATTTGTCCACACTCACATGTACGACTTTTCTAAATTGATTGTTTTTCACACGTGCGATTTATTGACCTTCTTCAAGTAAAAAAGATACTTTTTATCTCTCACCAAAAGAAAAGACGAAACACGATTTATAATTATACTGCGTATAGACTTTGTAAAAATACAAATTTTTATTAATGATTGTTCGATCCAAAATCGCAGCAAACAAAACCAAAAAAATAACGATGAAAGGTGTGCTCTTTCTCTGAATGCAGAGAAGGCGTTTGTTTTTGTTTTTTTAAAGCAAAACTCACCAAATCTCTTTGACACAGAAGAACACATACACACGTACACACACGACACACACATTTATTGTAATACATTTATTACAAACAACACGAAACACCTAAAAGTTAAAAATATCAATCAAGAGGTATCATTATTACGAGGTGAAAAAAGAACTCGCTGTCGCATTTTGTATTCCATTGTGTTTACGGCGCAGAGTAATATTGAATGAATTCAGCATGTTTTCTGTCTGTGTTTGTTGACTCGAATAATTATTGCATTTTCTTATGATTAATCTGATTATCAAAGCTATAATGTAGTTCACGGTGACAAACACGAGATATTAATAAAAAGGTGGAGGTTGGGTTAAAATTTAAGGAATTTTATTTATTCTTTCACCAAAATTGTTCGATTGAAAAAATTATTGCAAGTCTTGGCAGTGATCTAATGACAACGCCCTGATAAGAAAACAACAATCACGCTATTTTTAAATGACTTTCGTAATTTTTATAGTTCTGTCGGAAGTTTAATGAAGCGAATCGCTACTTTGCGTTTCTTTAAAGTGGATATGAGCGCGTTCTGGCAATTGACCAACCTGAGAAACTTTTAAAATGATTAAAAGTGTGGAATTTTCCAGTAAAAAAATTTTATTTCGAGTGCCCAAATTAAATTTTTTTGGAAGGTTGAGTCTTCCTTCAATGTACTGGACCAAGATTTTCATATCCGCTTTAACATTAATTTCTGCAAATCATTCCACACTTTATATTCCGTCCGTCAGAAGCTTGGACGCCCGCATCGAATAAGTTGCTTGGCATTGGTGCTAATTAAAGGATCGATTTCATTTATGTATAAAAAGCGGCCTCTCACCTTTTATAAAAATTATTACATCAGCACTTCTGATTGACGCGATAAAAGCTGGGTATAATTTAAAGCATGAAGAATAAGTGGAAAAGGCTCGTGATGATGCCGCTGCTAATGTCCCCTTCTTTTCTAGAGTGTCCGCCAAAAGAATACAGAGAACCGCGACGGTGTAGGCCAACTTTATAATAATAGATCTACAATTTTGCCCCTTTTTGTCCATCACCGTGTGAAACACGCTTACCCAATGCTACAGGTAGATTTCATCAGCAAACTTCTTTGTCCTTTGTTGTTTATTTATTGTACAATTGACCACTTAAGAAGAGGCATTGAAGGAAACCGCAAAACGAGGGCCACGGAAGCAGAAAAATCATTTTAATTCCATAATTTCAGGTAAGTTTTCTTTAATTGGTTTTATATTTATAATAATTCAGCACTTAAGTTTGAAATATTCAACAACAAAATTTAAATAAAATAGTTTTTCATAACAAGTTTAGAGACATCTGGTGTAAGTTTGAACGATTTCAAATAGATTTAGTTGAAAAACATTTAATTTAATAGATTAATTTTATTGCTGATGAATTTTAATGGTTAAGGTGAAATAATGTTTTACTTATTAATTAATTATTAACACACTTTAATAAATTATTTTTACCATGTTTAATTCAACTTTTTTATTAATTTCATATTTCATTTCTGAATATATAAATCAACAATGCAAAAACCAATAATAAAATTTGGCTTTACCGCATTTTTTTAATTTTCACTGTTAAGGGTTGTTGTTTATTTTTGTTTATGTTTCAACATCACCGCTCACGTTCCCTGTTCGACGGTTTTGCTTTTCGAGTCATCGTCAGCAGAAAGATGCGATCACGTGCGATTCTACGGCAGAATAAATCTCGATTTCATCCAGTTCACCTTGCATTATTCCTACTCGAATATTTTTTTCACTTTTTTTCGCGTAGAGAGACTGCACGCCGCGTCTCCCACCCCCTCACACGCGCAAGTAATAATTGCATGGGAATCAAAATTTGATTGCCGCCGCAGCCTTGAGATTTTTTTTGCAGCATAGGCTGCGGCCGACCGGTTGCGATTCGCAAATCTCTCGCCGTAAATTACAAAGTGAGGCTAAAAATAGCTGAACGCGATTTAAATTCTGTTAACACGCCACGTAATGGTTGTCGTTAGGGAGATTTGAATGTGAATTTTGTTTCAAGATCAAGATAACTACACATAAAAAATTTGCGAGCAGTAATTTTTTCTATCGGATGAAAGAAAATATTGAATATCATTTTTCACAAAAACTGGAAGTTGGTCAGAATTAAAATAACTGTCACGTTCTGCCAACAAATCCAAAAATGAACACTTGGCATAATCTGCTCTGACATAAATCTTCTCGCTTTATTCCTGGGTGCGAAATATTGCCTCAATCAATCTCACTTTCATCGCATGGCGATATGGTTTCAAAAGAGAGGAAAATTAATCCTACTTTTATTGTTTTCCTGATTTTTTTTTTTTATAAAAAATAAATTATTCAAGAATTATTCAACCTACCTTATATCATCTGTGCAGGTTTCCGGGTAGTTTACATGCAGACGGACATCACCCCTGGCATGAGCCCCGCCTAACCTTGTCCCTCAATCAGGAAACCTGTGACAAATCACAAGAGGGAAATTAATTATACTCATTTATCGATCTGTCTCACCGAGTTAATAACAACAGCTTCATTCATTCAGGATCTGTGTTAATTTCAACATTAGATTCATTAGATTATAATATTTTTTCATGGTGAAAACAAACATTTATCTGCTTTTGAAATTCACTCAAGTGGGTGCAGAAGCATAATGTGCACGACCGGTTTCATTTCGCACCTGGCATGCTACCTTGATGGACAGTGCCTCTGCACTTGGGAAATGTAGATATCAATGATATTTATTGTTAATTTATCACCATTCTATGCAAAACTTACTTTAAAGAAAAAATCCATCGACGCAGAAATTAATTAATAGAATTAAACTGCACTTCATACTGAAAATTAGTGAGTTCTTATATCTAATTTTATAAAAGAATGATCCTAAAAATATTTCATGAATATTTAAGAAAACAATATTTTTAATTTAATTTTTATGTGAATTTTTGAACGCTTTAATGAAATTAGTGTAAGATTTGTTTCAATAGTTTTTATCAAACCACAGCTCAAAATAAAAAGATGAATTTTGTCGTGAATAATGTGAAGGTTACGTTAAGTGAGTTCCAAACAAATTAATATTTAAAAAAAATTCAAAATACTTACACATTCTCAAATTTATTACATAAAAATTTTGTCATATTTGAAATTAATGTTCTGCAAAATAATTTATTTGATTAAAAATTGCCAAAATACATATGGACGAGATTCTAACTCTGCCAATGGTGCGTTGAATCAATTTTTTTTTTGTCCTGAACCTAATCGCTCAGTATAACTATTATAAGAAATGCACATTCGTCCTCGGAAAAATCCTATAACCAGAAGTCTATTTTTTTTTTTGCTTTTGCATCGGCTCTCTTGTCAGTCAAAATTCACCTTGAGTGTATATAAAACGAAAACTTCATTTCCTGATCTAGATTTCGCAACTTGACTAATTTCACTCGCGAGACAATGATTAAGGAAGTAGTGCTGCACCGAGAGGTTGAGGTAGGCTGCACTGCACCTGTTCCGAGGAAGACAAAAAAAGAGTTACGATCCTCCTTTAATGAGATCGTGTCACGTTTGCACCCACACGAGCAAACGTCCGCCTCGTAACTCATTGTGTGGGAGAGACAAAAATACTTTTCCACTTACAAAACACGGACACTTTTTTTTATCGCGCTTGTATTGTTCGTCCGGCGTGTAATAATTAATCGAGCCGAGAATGGATTACGTGCCGATTGCATAGCTCTCAATGAGTGCTGGAATCGGAGTAAATGGACAAAGTTCCGGCTTCTCGTGGCCTTGCTCTGTGTTCTCTCTCCGTTTTGCGACACTCTTGCTTTCGATTTATTGTTATTTTGTGTGCAGGACCGTGAAAAGCGACAGAAATGACTGGAAGAGAAAGAATTAAACCAGCAGGACCATGTATAAGAGTGGAGATTTATGCACGAGATCAATTGATCATTCATTACTACAATTTCATTCATGTCGGCGCTTTTACTTGGCCATGAAATGGCAAAAAAAGTACTTGGATATTGCACAACAATACAAAGAAATTAAAATTAAGAAATAAATTTGTAAATAATTTTTTTTACTGATTTCTTTTCATTAATTGCATTCAGCAAATTAAAAATTGACTTGTTTAAAAAAAAATTAATTTTTTATTATATTTTGCCTGGTTTTATTACATTATTTATTCAAATTTTTTTCAATTTTCTTTATTCGTTATTATGAATTCTATTTTAATACATCCGCTTCTTTACATTACTGTTTGTCTCCTCAACTCCGGGACATATTTGTCCGCTTCAAATTTAACAATCCAGTAAAGCACGTGTAGTACAAAATGTATACCAGCAGTAGTGGCAGACTTGAAAGACAATATTATGACTGCTGTGAGCTCCGTTTGACGCAACACTAGTCGCAACATTGTCTAGCGGAACAGGATCGGCTGCTGTTAATAAATCGTTTATATCGCATAATCAGGACTCAATTGATTAGAACGCAGAATAATTAATAAATGAAAGTGTTACAATCTCCAATGTATATTTTCTTGGTTAGAGATTTGAACGCCAGAAGCGTCGTCGACAAATAAATTGTAAATATTTGAATTTTCCTAAATACAAAAAAAGCAGTGCGAACCGGTTTGAAGTCACTCTAAGTGAGTAGCAAAAGAAAAAGACAAACATTGGTACAAAGTATGCTTCATTAGTCAAATATTTTCCCATTGCAAAATAGCCACTCTGTTGAGACGGAGAAGAAGAAAAAAAGGAGACGGACTGGAAGATGACAGAATTGAGAAAATTGGCGCCAAATTTATGCAGATTCATTTTCTGCAGGAAATAAAAACATGAAAAAAAGGGCGTTGATTTTATTGCTTGCTAGATGACGAGCCCCTAGAATTAATATTTCTAGCCGGCGAATTTTTTTAGAACTGTTAAAAAACATCTCGTTTTTCAGGCCAAATGAGGAAGAACTAATAAGCCTAAATTATATGGATCAGCAATCAAATCGGAGCCTCCGGCTGAATAAAATATTAAAACATAACAGGCTTGGAATTGGCCGTGCCATAAATTTATGGGTCTTCGCGACCGGCGCCTTCTCAACTCATGTGTATAATTATACAATCTTCTGAAAATTTATGCAAATTTTCACATTTAATAACCAAAATCTTATTTTTTTTCATCTTTCCAGAAAAGATTTGTCACCGTTATGAGCGATTATGTGTAATTAGTGCTGCATCGCCGTGGGAATGCGATGAAATTTTTCAGGTCGCGCCGATTTTGGAGGCCGTCGGATTTTATTTATAAACGAAACGAAATGGAAAGGAAATTGCTATTATTCAACTCTCCGGCCAAGAATCTAAAATTAAACGAAAGCGAAAGGAGACCAGACAAGGCGACACAATTCCAATTCCACCGACGCGGGTCGCATCAAAGCACCCTATATTTATCCAGGACTAAAAGCATTTCTTCACTTACTTTAATGTGTATGGATAATATACTCGTACGTGACTGGTTGCATGTTTGCCGATCAAAAACAAAGCTGAGAGGAATGTTGTGTGCATTGCGGAAAGCATAAAATGTGAATGGAAAGAGACTCAGATAAATGTGTGTGGATTATTATAATTTGCGCCAGACTGAACGTGGCAGTGTGAAAATAAATGGGCGTCATTAATTACAATTTTTTGTTTGAAAACTTGAGAAATCGATTTGGGTGGGTCCTATGTTAGGAGTAAAAGGAGGGAAATATTGTGGCTTAAAATAAAATTAGATTAGCAAGGCTACCGAATTTAGTGTTAAATCCATTGCAATACTTAACGGTCCCTGATATTTTACCTTGTTCTTAATTAACGAGCGAATTGTTAATTCTACAAGACAAGTATTTTTTTTTCATTAGATTTGAATTTTAATTTTATTGATATATTATGTGAAATATTATTCACAAAACATTTATTTTTTTACTTGGTAATTTTTAATATTAGGAAAATTAGGAAAAATGGGATAGCAATTAATTTAATTTGAAAACGCAAAGACATTCTAACAATTAAAAATAATTCCGTGAGATTCATGGTTTTAAAATTTGGATTTCCTAACTTATATATTATTTTGCTTAATTTTCGTTTAAAAAATAAATGATTAAATTTATCCTTTTAAGACGTGACTGCTATTAAATTTGGCAAAAACGTAAGCGTAAAATTATTTTAAAAAATAATTAAAATAACAATTAAATAATAAAAATGGTAACTACTTCAAAAAAGCAATTTCATCATTAAATTAATTGTGTTTAAGATTAAATAACAAATTATCAACCTATGAATCTAAATTTCCAGTTAAATTTAGTTCGACCAAATCTCTCTAGTAAAACAATGCTAAAAGTAATCAATGATGCCGCGTTGAAAGAGTTTATCTAGATCGATTTTCAACGTTGATCGGAATCTCAGTGGCCATTCAAAGGAGTCGATTTATTATTGGCAGTCGTGATTTCGATTTATTGTTTGTTCCTGTGGGGATCAGCACGAGCGGCGGCGGCAACGGAGGTGATCGAGCGGTGTGAGCACACGAGTTGCACCAATTGCAATCTAGCCTTGGACAATTACGGACACTTTTTATGCGCACTTAGAGATACACACACACACACACACACACACACACATACATTTGTTTTTAACTATACTTCATAATGTTATCTAACTGCTATTGGCCGATCGAGGAGTGTGTTTCGAACGTACATACGTTCTCGCAGCGCCGGTGTAATTACGGCGCCGTGAAGGCTGCTGACGGCACCGCTCGTGTTATTTTGCATTTTTCGCTGGAATAAAATTCATTGCCGTTTTCGTGTGTAATTCTGATTAATTGGCTGCTAAGTATGAAAGCCGATTACGGACGGGGTGACACGTGTTGCTCGATTATCATTGGACGCACCATGATCATTGCGTTTGTTGTTGTCAAGAAGCTACAAACAGATGTTGAGATTTTTTTATAAATACGTTCAGTCTGGAAAAATGTAGGATGTACAAATTCTTCTCTTTTTTCGTGATTTTTCTTAAATCGCAGTTTTTTTTTTGTACTCAAAATTACAATGATTGTTTCTTAAATGTAAATAAAATATTATAGCCTACTTCAAATGGCATTTTGCAAAATTTATGATCCTGAATAATTTTTTCATTTGTAGAGACATAATTATCCTTCTGTTTTAAATTAAAGTAGATTTAATTTATTTAAGAATTATATTGTTGCTTGAATCAATATTGAATTTTCAAAATTATATAATCACATAATAAGCTTTTTTAAACTTGATTAATAAAATTTTTGGAATAATTTTATCATATATTTAAATGAGGTTTGAATTCATAAATTACTATTTAGTAAAACACAACATTACATAAATTTTAAATTCGTACGTTATGCAAATACGTGCAATCAAACGACCACACAAAATATTAGAAAAATTTTGTCAAAACCTAAATTGATGCAACCAATTG